AGACCCCACAGGCCTCTTTCGGTGGCCCTACTATGTGCTGGAACTGATGTGTGCTGGGGGCAGCAGGAAGCTGGGTGGGCCCTGCCCTGCCCTGCCCTGCCCTCATGGAGGTCACAGCACTAACCCACACACACACACACACACACAAACACACACACACGTCTAATTGCTATATGTGCAGTGTCTGAGGAGAAAGCCAGGCACTTGGAAGGGGGCATGATTTTGGGGTGAAGGGAGTCCTCTCCAAGGAAAGGCTTTTAAACTAGGACCTGAAGGATGAGTAGCAGGTACCCAGGTGAAGAGAGGTGGGAACAGCATTTTGGTCACAGGGAATTGCATCACAAAGGCCCTGAGGAAGGAAGGCGGGGGAGTGACTGAGACCCTGATATCACGCCTAACCAGTTGCTGTCAAGTCAATTCCGACTCAGGATGACCCCATGTGTGTCAGAGCAGAACCGTGCTCCACAACATTTTCAATGACTTTTTATAAAGTAGATTGCCAGGCCTTTCTTTCAAAGTGCTTCTGGGTGGACTCGAATCTTTTGGTTAGCAGCAAGCCTATGAAGTGTTCACACCATTCAGGGACTCCAATATCATGCTCAGAGGTGATGAAAGCATCAAACCAGGGTTTTCCTGTTTAACTTTCTAGGGTCCTATGTTCGTTGACTGAATATTTACTGCACTTACTGTGTGCCAGGCCAGAGCTGAGGGTCAGACTGACACAGCACCTCGCCAGGACCACCTCTCTTCACCTCTGGTCCCCTGAGCCAAGTGTGCAGCAGTGACCTCAGTTGCCTCAGCACAGCCACCCATGCCTGGTGTTCAGGGGGCTCCTGCACCTCTCCGGGAGCCCAGCATTCTGCATGGCACTCAGTGCCATGAGTTGCAATAAATCACCTCTAAAATCTCTGTCCCATAAGCTGTGGGCTCCTTAAACACAGGGAATGTTCAAATTCATCTTCAAGTGCCAAAAACTTAAGAGAAACAATGAGCTCAGCAAGTGTTTGTTGAGTGAATGAATGAGCCCAGGGGAGACAAAAGCAAAGTACAGACCCCTTTGCCATGAGACCAGGAGAACTGGATGGTGCCTGGCTACTACTGGTGAACATGTCATTTTGATCAAAGATTCTATAGAAGAATCCTGATCAAAAGCGGAAAATGCAGAACAGAATTTCAAACTCTCATGGAATCCAGACTTTCTGGATTCATGGAGGTTGGATGAACCCACGAAACTATTGCTCTGAGATAATCTTTAAACCTTAAACTAAAAAAAAAATCCCCCGGAGCCTTCTTAGAACCAAATAATAATTTAGCTTAACTGGTAAAGAACGTCTGCTGTGAGCATTGTGCTGTTTTAAGATCTATTTATATGGGATCAAATGGACAACAGCAACTCAAAAGATTAGATAAGAACCTTAGAGGGCAGTGAGTTCATGTTAATAGGGGAGGAACACTTCAGAAAAGGAAGGTGAGAATGGTTGCATGAACTCGAAGAACGGACTCAAAGTCACTGAATTGTACATGTAGAAACTGTTGAATTGCTGTATGTTCTGTTGTGTGTATGCTCAATGACAACAAAAATAAAATAAATTATATATTAAAAAAGGCAAAGAGTTTAGAATTAAGTGAGGAGATATGGCTTGTGTCTGGGCTCTGATGTGGGCTGGGTGGTCCTGGCTGGGTCCCTCTACCTCTTGGGGTCTCATTTTCTCCTCTGTAAAAGGAAGGATGGGTCTGGCTGAACATCTCCACGCTGGAACCCATTGTTCAGAGATGGAAGGCAGATCTGTGGATCCCACTGAGCAGGCCTCCTCTGGCTGGAGAGGGAGGGCATGGCCTGGAGCCCAGCCAGCCCTCCCCTCCTCACTCGCCCCCACAGAAGTCCTTGACCCCCCTCAGCTAACCTCAGAATTTAAGAGCCACAGTTGAGAAGCCGTGGACAGGAGGCTCTGTGGTGCAGACCACGTTGGTCTGGGGCTGGGAGAACAGGCTCCAAGCCACACTCTAGTCCTGCTCTCTCTGTTTCTCGGGCATTTCTCTTCCTCCACGAGCCTTGATTTCCTCCCCTGTAAAGAGTGGAGAAGAAGCCCTGGTTGCATGATGGTTAAGCACGTGGCTGCTAACTGAAAGGTCGGCGGTTCTAACCCACCAGCCGCTCCGGGGCAGAAAAGCCCTGGCGGTCTGCTCCCATAAAGATGACAACTTTGGAAACCCTATGGGGCAGTTCTGCTCTGTGCTGTAGGGCTGCTACGAGTCAGAATCTTGATGGCGCATAACAACGACAGCAAAGAGTGGGAGCCAGTCAGCTGCCATTGAGTCAACTTGTGGCGACCCCAAGTGTGTTAGAGTAGAACTGCACTCCATAGGATTTTCAATGGCTGATTTTTAGAAAGCTGATCATCGGGGCTGTCTTCCAAGGTGCCTCTGGGTGGACTCAAACCTCCAACCTTTTGGTTACAGACAGCACATTGCCACTACCCAGGGACTCCAAAGAGAGGGGATGAGACTAATTCAGGGAGGCAGCCGGAAGCGGGCTCTGTGTTTGGATCCCACAGACACAGGCAGCATAACCAAAAAATCAAACCCACTGCCATCAAGTTCATTCCGACTCACAGCAACCCTGTAGGACAGAGTAGAACTGCCCCATAGGGTTGCAAGGAGCGGCTGATGGATTTGAACTGCCAACCTTTTGGTTAGCAGCCAAACTCTTAATCACTGTGCCACCGGGGCTCCACAGGTGGCAAAGAGCGCCTACAATCACAGACACCCAGAGAAGCCTCCGTCTGCCCCTTCTGCTAGGCTGGGGGCTCTTTAGGCTTATTTTCCCTTCCCAGCAGACCCATTGTTATGTTATCACGTTTGCCCAGATAAAGATGCACCTGTTGGCTGGGATGGGAATGGGGATATTGAGGCACAAGCGAGGTGAGTGGGGGTCCATGGTCCTTAGCGCACCATGAAAGGCGACCTCCACACAGGGCCTGGCTGGCAACAGGAGTCAACTTACTATCCCACGGGGGCAAGGGAGGTCCAGCCGCAGTGCTAACGCTGTCCGTCCGCTGCCTCACCACTGCAGCCCCTTCCTGGAAAATAGTAACCTCTCAGCTGGCCGAAACGCTGTGGCCAACAGGCATCTTCTCTCCCAGGAGGTCCAAAGGACCCTTACGTGGAGGAAAGAGGATGGATCTGCAGGCAGTAGAAAAAGGCAACGGGGTGGGGGTCCCGCCACAGCAACGTGACTCATCAGAAGGGTTATACTACTCAGAGCCTTAACTGCCTCATCTATAAAATGGGGCCAGTAACACCTCCTTCCGGGATTGTGGGGATGATTAGTAAAGAAGGAAATGCGAAGAAGTACGAGGCTTAGACGTAGAACCTGGGCCCTCCACTTACCGGCAGCGGGGTTCCGGCAGTTTACAGAGCGGCGATAAATTGGGGTTGCCCTCCGCGCATGTCCTCAATTGAGGTCGAGCCCGGTGACGCTCTGCCTTCTTGTTTCAGCTTTCACGCTGTAAACAAGTGTCCTTTTCGGAGACTACTTAGTGTCGCCTTTTTCACGTTTTTTTGCTTTTTGTCGGTGATTTCGCTGTTTAAAACAGTCCCTTGCCCGTCCCCGTCCCCCCGCCCAAAAGAAAAGTCCTTCTCAGGTTCTGTCTAGTATTTAAGCGCAAGAAGGTTGTGATGTGCCTTGGGTAGAAAATGCATGTGGTAGATAAGCTAGGTTCAGGCATGAGTTATAGTGCTGTTGGCCGTGAGTTAATGAATCAACAATATATATGAAATTAGGTGTCTTTGTGGCTTAGTGGTTAAAGCTCTCAGCTGCTAACCAGAAGGTCAGCTGTTCCAACCCACCAGCTGCTCCTCGGGAGAAAGATGTGGCAGTCTGCTTCCCTAAAGATTACAGCCTTGGAAACCCTATGGGGCAGTTCTACTCTGTTGATAGCAATGGGTTTGTTTTTTTGTTTTGTTTTTTTTTTAAGGTATCTTTAAACAGAAACATGTAAAACTAGGTTATGTATTGGTTGGTTAATAAAAATATTGTGACCTGCAGAAACTAACCCTGTATTTCCCCTGGGAGCAGCGGGTCAGTGTTTGCTAATTCAGTGTCTGCAGTGACTTCAGAGAACATAACTATTGCAAACAATGAGAATCAGCTGTAACTCTTTTACGACAACCTCTGGAATGCCATGAAGACCGGCTGGTGGTTGCAGAGTGCTTTGGGCTTTGAAACCAGGGCTTTGAACCAGTTCATTCCAGTTTATACCCCTGCTGAGAATCTGCATTTCTAACAAGTTTCCAGGCACTGGTAATGCTGCTGGTTAGGGATCACTTCTGAGAACCACTAGCACAGCTAAAACCAAACCCAAACCCAGTGCTGTGGAGTGGATTCCGACTCATAGTGACCCCACAGGGTTTCCAGGCTGTAAATCTTTACTGAAGCAGACTGCCACATCTTTCTCCCTCGGAGCCCCTGGAGGTTTCGAACCACTGACCTTTTGGTTAGCAGTTAATTGCTTTAACCACTGTGCCGCCAAGGCTCCCACTAGGAGAGCAGTGGTTCTCAAAATTTATACATAAGACTCGTGAGAATAGCAGCACAATTGGAAGAGTGTAGTCGATGTCACTGAACTGTGCATGTAGAAATTTTTGAAATGGTGTATCTTTGGCCTTGTGTATTTTCACAAAAAAAAAAAAAAAAAAAGGTCGAGAAGGGAAAGGGTTGAGATGTCGTGGGGTTGTTAACCAATGTCATAAAACAATATGTGTACTACTGTTTAACGAGAAACTATTTGTTCTGTAAACCTTCACCTGAAGTACAATTAAAAAAAAAATTTATACATAAGACTCACCTAGGGATCCTGTTAAAATGTAGATTTTAATTTAGATATCTAGTGTTGGAATGCAAATTCTCAGCAGGGGTTCTAACTAGAACCAACCGGTTGGAAGCCCTGTTTGAAACCTCTGTCCGGCACCCATCTCCACCGCTACCATTCTTCCTGCAGGCCCTCTCTCCTGCCCCCACGGCCATGACCTTCACCCCAGCACCACTGGAGGACACGTCCTCGCGCCCCCAATTCTGCAAGTGGCCCTGTGAGTGCCCGCCGTTGCCACCTCGCTGCCCACTGGGGGTCAGTCTCATCACGGATGGCTGTGAATGCTGTAAGACATGTGCCCAGCAGCTCGGGGACAACTGCACTGAGGCCGCCATCTGTGACCCCCACCGGGGCCTCTACTGCGACTACAGTGGGGACCGCCCGAGGTACGCAATAGGAGTGTGTGCACGTAAGTGAGACCCTCCGTACCTTCTACCCAGCCCCCCGCACCCCCAGCTCTGGCCCAGGCCCCTCTCCCTTGGAACGCCCACAGCCCTGACCCTGGCCACACTTCTGTTTGGCAAGAGGTGCCCCCACTTCAGTCCAGAGTGAGAGGCCAGAGGCCAGGCCCTTTCTGGGGAGAGAGGGATGCCTACATTCCTCTTGACTCCAGAATGTTGCCTCTTTCGAGTCTCTCAGTCATGGAGGCACGTCCGTACTGTCCCCAGGGAAGAGGCAGCCACTAGGCAAAGCTCAGCCTAGCTTTGCTCTCTTAGTGGTGAGGCCCTTTGCCCAGTGTCCATGACCTCCCAGAGGACACTAGGGCACTGCAGAGCTCCAAATATTTTAATGATATTGTCAATACAAGCAATATGGTTAAAGAAAAGCCAGTAGCCTTGAAAGAATGAAAACCAGCAGCCTGCAGCCATCCCTTCCTACTACCTACCCTGGTGCCTTCAGTTACTACAGTCCCTTTAAACTCTTAGCTGTTTCTTCTGGCAGTGACCACTATGTAATACCTGTGTTCTGCTATATCTTGCCTGGCTTGATATACCAATTTTGGATATGATAGCTGATGACTTAGCTCCTCAATACCATTCTGCTCTTCTCCTAGCTTTCAAATATACTGGTCATGATTGTTTTTAGTGTTATTATACAAGAATCAGTGTTTACCATATTATGACTGTAAATATCGTTCACTGCAGCTTGAAAGAGTGTACTTGCTAAATTTCCATTCTTATAAAGCTTTTTGTTTTTCCTGGAGTTTCTAATTTACTTTTTCTGCACTCTTGTTCTTTATAATATCCTCATGAGTGGGGGTAGGTGGAGCAGTTATTGTGTTTTACTTATTTGTTTGCTTTTCAAGTGCTCTAGCATGGGTATTCTGTCCTTTTCTCTTCCCAGAGAACTTCTTCCTGGAACTTTCTGACCTCCTGCCTCTATCTGGGCTGACAGTCCCTTAGCTTGAGTCATCTAAATCTATCCTTCTAAGATACATGACCCAGCATGATGAAGAGAGGTAACTACGCATCATGATACAGTTGCCTAACTTCCGAACAGTTGTACAAAGCCTCCTGAACCCAAGGGCTCCCTCTTCCCTTAGTGCTGAATCAAGTGTTCCTTGTAACCATGACTCCGTATACACCCCTTATTTACATACAATGTAGTCTTGCATCCTCACCTAACTCATTATATTTCCTGGAGTGTGTTGTTGATGAGGATTACGTACATAATTCCAAGCTAGACAACCCTATCTTAGTTTCGTGGTTAATTTACAAACACTTCATGCTCTCTTATTGTTGGTTCATGCTTAAAGTTTATACCAAGTCATCTGACTTTGTCTTTGCAAATAACCACCTCTGCTTCCCTCATCCTTCCACTTTTTCTTTTACTGAGACCCATTATTAGCCCCATAAAACAGTGTGTTCAAAGAAGCAGCACCAACTGCATGGAGTTATCTGATGTGTTGGTTAAAATATGTTATTTCTGAGACCCCCCCCCCCCACTCCCCGGACTTAATAGGTCAAATTCCCTGGAGGTGGGGTTGTGAAATCTACATCTTGAATGAGATTCCCTGGTGATTCTCATGCACACTTAAGTTTGAGACTGACTGCTAGCGTACACAGTCAGTCACATACCCTCTCCCCACTACCCAGGTAGGGAAAATTGCCAGGCCTTCCATCAGTAGAACCACCTCCAGTTATATGAGGCTATCTCATCATTTATTCCCCATTTTAATGCTGCTGTCTCAGTTCACTGCAGTTGTACTGATCACTAAAGCTGTCCTGAGAACTTACCATGTGCCTGGCACCACGCCTTCATAGGCATTCTCTCATGGAGTCAGAGATTGGGCAGGCCCAGCTACTGCCTCTCCTACCTGTCTTCCTCACTGGGGACCTGGAAAACCACCTCCCCTACTCATCCTCACCCCTTATCTCTTTGTATTTTAGGTCCCACCTTCACTCACCACAGCCTCTTAGCTCCTCTCTCCTCGCCTACCCATGAGCCTGTGCATATTTCCTTTCTTTCATTGGAAAAACAAAACCAAGCTGTGGTCTGAAGGAGATTGGAATAGGTGTTACACTTATCAAGGGGTTCCCTGACCATACAGGTTTGCAGATATTGGAATAAATAAACCAGTTCTGCAGGACTTGTCAGAGCCTTTAAACGTGTGTGCCTCTCCAGGGGGACCGGCATTTTGCGCGGCACTCAGTGCCTTGTGTTGTAACAAATAACTTCTAAAATCTGTCTCTCCTGTATGCTATAGGCCCCCGAAGCATAGGGAAATTTTCAAGTCATCTTCAAATGCCTAAAACTTAGCGAAATGATGAGCTCAGCAAAAGTTTGTTGAGTGAACGAAACAGCCCAGAGGAGACAAAAGTAAAGGGTATAGAAACAAAACAAAACAAAAAAAAACAAAACTGGTCTGAGAGAGACTTTAATAGGTGTTACACTTACCGAAGGGTTCCATGATAGCATAGATCTACAGATGTTGGAATAAATAAAGTTAAACAGATGTTGCAGGGCTTCTCAGAGCCATTAAATATTCATGTCCATTGTCAAATTCTAAAAGGGAGCTATTGTAAGAAGGCTTTTCTTTCCAAACTTATTTGAACCCTGAACTTTTTTTGCCCAGGTGAATTTTTACTCACTCACCCCACCACATACACACACACACACTCATTACACATACAAACATCACATGCACACATGTGCACAACACATGCATCTCACTAACATTCTACTGAGCCTTTTTTCAGAAATGCTGCCATAGTGTCTGAGTTCATGAGCCTCTCATGCAAGGAAAACAGCAATCCTGGGGCCTGAAGGCAACAGAGAAGAAGCCAGCTCTAGGCCAGAGGGGAAAGAGAAAAGATGAGTCCCTCTAATGGACAGCGTCTTAGGAAATGGTCAGCTCAGCCAATGGACAGTCCCCAGGACAGGCTACATCTGTCCTTGGAGGTTTACATGTAATTTGGGAAGGGCAAGGCAGGTAAACACACACCACACTGGCATGTATAACTCATGGAGAGGATAGTGGGGGTCATGGCAAAGTAGTGAATGAAGCTTGGCTAGTGGAGGTCAGCTGTATGGGGCCCCAGCCCACTGTTCAGTCTGCTCAGTTTTCAAGAGGATCCAGAAGGCTGGATTTGTATATCATTTGTAAATACTGGCAACACATTCAAAACTCTTTTAAAAAACACTCTGTAGGCCAAATTAAATATGTTCATGGGCAGAGAGTGACCTCTGAGTTTGACTGTTGGGCTATTTCGGTTGCACAAACACCCCTTGCACTTACTGCAGCTGAGTCAGGCCTGAGGGCAGTGTGGTTTGAAGGCAGGATCATGACATTTCCAGGCAGTCAGGCTTGGGTTGAAATTCTGGCTCTGCCACTTGCTAGCTACGTGACCTTGGGCACACCACTTAAAGAGCATGATGAAACCAACTCCACATGGTTGTCGAGGATCAAACAATGATGCATGAAAGCCTAAGATGTCATCAGCTGCTTTTGCTTTTTGCCTTGTTTGCTTTGCTTTAACTTTCCCATGGAGAAGCCATCTCGCCCTGCCGACAGTCATCTTGAAACGAGAGGACAGGTCTAGTTCCAGGTCTCAGCCCTCTCAGGCTGAAGATTACCCAAAACCAAACCCGTTGCCGTCAAGTCCACCCTACAGCGACCCTATAGGACAGAGTAGAACTGCTCCCATAGGGTTTCCAAGGAGCAACTGGTGGGTTTGAACTGCTGACCTTTTGGTTAGCAGTTGAGCTCTTACCCACTGAGCAACCAGGGCTCCAGGCTGAAGAGCAGGAGAGTGATAACTCACACATGGTCTTTGGAGCTACACAGCCTGAGTTTGAATCCCAGCATCACCACTTAGTAGAACTATGACTTTACGCAAGCTACTTAACCTATGAAGTCTCAGTTTCCTCATTAAATAAAACACGACAAATAAAGCCCGCCTCTCTACTGGTTGAATGTCAAGTGCCTGATACACGGTACCAGCTGCCGTGGCGTCAACTCTGACTCATGGCGCCCCCATGTGTGTCAGAGTAGAACTGTGCTCCATAGGGTTTTCAGTGGCTGATTTTTTGAAAGTAGATTACCAGGCCTTTCTTCAGAGGCACCTCTGAGTGGACCTGAACCTCCAACCTTTCAGTTAGCAACTGAGGGAGCTAACCCTTTGCACCACCCAGGGACTCCTAATACCTGGTAAAAAGCAAACAAACAGTCGCCGTTGAGTCTGTCTCGTGGCAACCCCATGTGTGCAGAGTACAACTGCTCCATAGGGTTTTCATGGCTGTGACTTTTCGGAAGCAGATGGCCAGGACTTCCTTCTGAGATGCCTCTGGGTGGGTTCAAACTGCCAACCTTTCGGTTAGTAGCTGAGCACTTAATTGTTTGTGTCACTCAGGGACTCCTCTGATAATGGTAGGAGCCCAATTAAGATTAGTGCTAACCCCCACATCCATCCATCCATCCACCCACCCACCTACCTATCCATCCATCCACCCACCCATCCACC